AAAAAAAAAAAAAAAAAACTAAAAAAGAATTATTGTAAGAATTTGAAATAATATTCATAAATAACTAGTATAGTTCTTACCATGTTAGAGGTCCTGGAAATGGGGCAACTGTCATTATTATTTTTAATCCTCCTAGTTAGTTTTCTGCTAGTCTCAGACCACCAACGGGCATTCCGTTCCCATCTCTCACATCCCCCAACTGACCCATCCTACTTTTTATCATTGCACATGTTACAGGTACTCTGTCCCTTCTCTGTAAGAAGCTAAACTGTTAGAAGATTCTAATGGAAAAGAGGAAACTAGGCCACTAGGGCTCACCGCAAATGGCATTAGCTAACTGAAAGGAAAGGTACGTGGAAAATGATGAGATCATATATCAAAAAATGTAGGTGCATGCTTCTTTCATCTAATTTTGCGGCCAGACTGAAAGCAGGAATGAGGAGGCAGCATTTCCTAGGAATGAAAAACAAGCTGGACAAAAGACATAAAAAACTCTCAGCTTAGCAGAAATTAAGGAGATGCAAATTAAAATTATAAGGACATACATGTTTATACCTATGAGACTGGTAGAAATCTTAAAGTCTGAAAAAAATCAGATCTTGGCAAGAATTTTGGAGTATAACTTGATATAACCTCTTTGGAAAATATGGCCTTACCTAGAAAAATGGGGCATGTCCATATCCTACTACCCAGCAATTGGACTTCTAGGAATATTCCCCAGAGAAACTCTTACCCATGTGCACCAGAAGACTCAAATAAGAATTTTCATGGTTACATGGTTCTTTGTAACAGAAAGCTAGAAACAGCCCAACGTTTGTCAATACTAGAATGGGTAGACAGTTATGATAAATTTATACAGTGAAGCACCATACAGCTGTGTAAACAAATGAACTACACCTGTGTGTATCAACTTGGATAACTCCTACATTGTAATTTTGAGGGAAAAATGTAAATCACAGAAGAATATGTACTGTATGATGTCATTACTATAAACACTAAAAACCAGGCTAACCTATAGAGTATATTGTTAGTCATACATAAATAGAATGGTAAGCCTGTAATAAAAAGCAGAGGATGACAAACATAAAGTATGAGACCAGTTAGTTCTGAGTGAGATAGAAGGACTGCAGCCTGGAGTGTTGGAATACCTGTATTACTCAGAATCCTCCAGATAAATAAATAGGAAATAGGTAGATAGATATTTATTATAAAGTATTGTCTCACACCATTATGGAAACTGAGAAGTCCCACAGTCTACCATCTGCAAGCTGGAGACCCATGGAAATCAGGAAAGTAATTTGAAGCCCTGAGAGCTGAAGAGGTGGTAGTATAGATGCTGTCTTAACGCCTGAAAACCAGGAGAACTGAGAACAGGGAAAGATCTATGGCCCAGCTCAAGTAGTCAGACAGAGAGTGAATTCAGCCTTCCTCCCCCTCTTTATTCTCTTCAGGCCCACCATGGATTGGATAATACCTGCCCACATTGGGGTGGGCCATTTGCTTTACTCAGTCGGTCCATTCAAATGCTAATCTTGGCTGGGTGCTGTGGCTCAGGCCTGTAATCCCAATACTTTGGGAGGCTGAGGCAGGCAGATCACTTAAGGTCGGAAGTTTGAGACCAACCTGGCTAACACAGCAAAACTCCGTCTCTACTAAAATTACAAAAATTAGCCGGGCATGGTGGCGCACACCTGTAGTCCCAGCTACTTGGGAGGCTGAAGTAGAGGAATCACTTAACCCAGGAGGCAGAGGCTGCAGTGAGCCAAGGTTGCACCACTGCACTCCAGCATGGGCAACAGAGCAAGACTCCATCTCAAAAAAATAAAAACAGGCCGGGTGCGGTGGCTCAAGCCTGTAATCCCAGCACTTAGGGAGGCCGAGACGGGCGGATCACGAGGTCAGGAGATTGAGACCGTCCTGGCTAACACGGTGAAACCCCGTCTCTACTAAAAAATACAAAAAACTAGCCGGGCGAGGTGGCAGGCGCCTGTAGTTCCAGCTACTCGGGAGGCTGAGGCAGGAGAATGGCGTAAACCCGGGAGGCGGAGCTTGCAGTGAGCTGAGATCCGGCCACTGCACTCCAGCCTGGGCGACAGAGCGAGACTCCGTCTCAAAAAAAAAAAAAAAAAATTAAATTAAAAAATAAATAATTAAATAAATAAAAACAAACCCCAATCCTTTCCAGGAACACCCTCACACACCCAGAAATAATGTTTAACCAGCTACCTGAGTACCCATTAGCCCAGTCAAGTTGGACATAAAATTAACCATCACAATACTCAAAGGGTTTCAAAAATATTAGTAATGTTCTATTTTATCTGGTATACCTTTGTGGATGTATTTTAAGCAAGTAAAGATGAAGGTGGGAAACAACAGATAAGTGTGGCACTCTATTTCAGGGGTGGAGAGACGTGAATGCTGGGTGGCAGATAGCTGAGCAGAAACACAATAGGA